ACAGCACACACGTTTGGGGCATTAGAGTTGGGTAAAGATATTCCCGTATATATTAATACACTATATGAAAGTGGTAGTAAAATTCACTCAGACCTAAAGTCTAAACCATGCCCAAATTCAGTTCTAACCCAGTGAATCTTAGATGTCAGATAGGCCGAGAGCATACCACAGATCCATGAAAAAGTGACAAGAGTACAGGTCAGGAAATACAGCTGGGAAATTCAAACAGTCAGAACAGGGCTCCTCTTTCTGGCAATGTCATTAGGTAAGATGTGGAGACCAATCTATCTTTAATGCCTAGAGATTGTGCGGATGTTAGGAATGAGGCCTATTGTGCAGGGCATTTTTGTTAACCAACCCCCCCTCCAAAAAAAACAGCAACAACCCTCCCCTCCCACAAGTGTGCACCTGACTGTATTAATTTTGTCATATTTTATGACATACTTTTGGGGTATATGTTGTGTCTCATCCTGCTCAAAGTCAATGGGAGATTTTCATTGACTTCTTCAGTGTGAGCAGAAACAGGCCCTGGGGACTGCAGCAATTAAATACATCAAAAATAAGGACTATGTTCCTGTGGACCAGCAAAATAATGTTCACATTTGTACAGGTGAAAACAGCTACATTAAGCCTCTTCTTGACTGCTCCTTCGCTCACAGCACTAATCTCCTCCAAAGTGCATACTTATGTTCATAAAAAAAATTGCTGATAAAAAGGTCATTGCATTTTTCAATGGTTTTGAATACTAACAAATAAATCAATCAATCTATCCAATAGGAAGCTAAGCACTAAATTAGAGAAAACCAGACTTGCAAATATAACATTTATCTTTTAAAATATTCCCAGCGCATTTAATTAAAAGTCAATGTCACAGTCAAGGAGATTACATGTTAAAATGTCCCATGGTGCACCGGTGAACATGCTTCTTTAGAAAGCTGTTATGTCTGAAAGGGAGTGGAGTAACCCACTAAGTTATTCTTTTTCCAGTATTTGTATTCAAAAATGCTTTGCTGTTTTGCATGTAGCTTTTCAAAGCTTTCAGAATTTCATAGGATAGTTAGGAGTATAACCAGGAAGCAAAACATTTCTAAGGTTTGGAGAACTTCCACTAAACTTAATTTATAAGCTAATCAAAAGATAGAGAGAGAATATATGTATGTGTGTGTGTGTGTGTGAGAGAGAGAGAGAGAGTGAGAGAGAGAGAGAGAGAGAGAACAGTAAGAGGTTTGGAATGTACCATACTTTAAGAGCACAGAGAGCATGCATTATTCACTAGGAAGCACATAAAGAAAGATAAATGAAAGAAGCAGGGGAAGGCGAGCAGCAAGAGGAGCCCTCAGAGCAACAAGAAATTGTTAGAGTGAGCCTTAGCATCTGGGAAAGCTGGAATCCAGGTGTCCACCAGTTTGGTCTTATGTTCTGACAACATGATTAAATACCGAAGTAGAGGTCCTTCTGCAGGGGCCAGGAGACTGCCTGATGGAAACAGAACTGTCAAGAGGAGAGGATACTGTGTCATATTTGCCTTTAAAACGTCCTCATTTTTAGATCCTACTGAAGAATTTTGCAGGGACTTTTTGGTAGACTAGACCTTCGGCTTTCTCTTCCATTTTTACTCAGTTCATCCCTTTTATAAAATATTCATTCATGGATCTCTTATTTTGTAGGCTTTTCCACATTGTACACTTTTCTTTCAGCAAACAAATAGCACTTCACACTATTCCCATGAGCAGTATGGTGTGACTCTTGCAAAAAGCAAAAGTATATTGGGTCTTGTAGAAAATCTTTTTAATTGAGAAGAAGTTTTTCATCATAAGATAGTTTCAGTATCTATAAAAGCTGCAGCTTTTCAGATTATATCAATTCAGTTCCTTCCATATGTACATCTTAATTTAATTGGTAATGCATTTAAAGGACATTGTAATATTGAATTGTGTGCATTATACAGAATGTACAGTAGACAATGATTTGATAACTAAGGACTTAACAGTCAACAGGCCATGTGACTATGGAGGTAATTTGCTAAAAAATAGACTATATATTTTCCTGAACATAAAGTTCAAAGTAAGAAGATCAACAGAAGTGCACTACTCAGTCTAAGAAAAAGACTTTTTGGTTCCACTTGAAGTTTCACATTAAAATACAAACAGCCAACGTATGGATTTTGTGAATACCCAGGTACATGATGAAAACAAATGTGGACTTAGGGAAACAACCCCCTTTTGCCCAATGCTTCCAGCCTGATCGTGAGAAGTACTGAGTGCTCTGTTATCCAATAGAAGTTCAGGGAACTCAGCATATCACAAGAGGTCATCCCATCCCTTTGCAGGGTTGGGCCCTTAGTTTGTGTGATAATTAGCATGAATCTGTGATGTGGTGGAATCTCTTTGTACTGCCACTCGGGATAGATAGGTTCAAGAGGAACTTTAGGACTCCCATTTCCCAGGGGGTATCAATAAATGCCTTTTGTGTTTTATGGTGAGGGTCCAGGCATCATGGAAGCCTGCACTTTGCCAGCTAAGCCACTGAGGAGCAAAAACAGCTCAGATGACAGTTTTTATAGCACACACATCTGCTGGAAAGTAGACAACATATAGGCAGCAAAGTAGAATAGAGGATGGCTCTGGAAATCATCAGAGAAAAACTCCAAAGAATATAGCGACAGATTAGAGCCTGCTCTCTAATCTGATCTCCATAATAACCATAATAATAGGAAATATGATGTACATAATATTTATGGCAACTGCTCTGCTGCACTCACACAGCATCAGTGCCCAGAATGCAGAGCTCCTCTCCAAGCCCTTACATGCTTTTTTCCCCTTTGAAATAAAAATAAAGAAATACATTAAGGTAAAGCAAAAAGAAAACAATAACCTTTAAACAAGGAACACATGTCTGATTAATGTTCATTACAAACCCAGGAAAGGTTCCCGTTCCATATTGGTGGGAGGATTCTTTTTTAAAGCCTTTCCTCTGGGGTACACAAGTGAGTTTACTTTCTGCTGCACTGTGCTAAATGCTGTACCACAGAAAGAGCAGGTGGCTCACTTAGTGCAATTATACCAGTTTGATTCTAACCCATTTTTTAAATTCACTGGCAACGGCCAGCTTATTCTGTTTAAATAACCCACTCACTGTGTTTAAATTTTGCTTTCAGCGTGCAGCTCGGTCGCTCTCAGTTAGTGGATTTGATGTTGGCTTCATTCTTTCTAGGTGCCTCATAGCTAAACATGAACCGATTAGCCATTCCAAGTTAGCTATCGCTGCACACTAGACGGATCCTTCACTTCGTTTATGTCAATCATAGAGCTCAGCATCACTGAATTTCTGGTAGAACACCTATTTAAAATGCCAATATTCTGCTGGGTAGGAGAAAAGCAAAGGTATGGAGGCGAAGCATTAGCCTTTGCATTTAATGCTGATTTTTAGCTTGGCTTAAATAAGATGGCTTGCTTCTTGCCCTTCCATCCCAGAACCCATTTAGTAAATAGGAATTAGTTCACTTCATTTCATAATAATTATTGAAAATGTAACAGTAAACAAATAACAATTCCTTTGCCAGCAGAATGAAGGTTGCCACCATCAGAAAACTAGGATTTCGGAGTATTCACTGAGTGCTAGATCTTCTCATTTTGGGAGAGCTCTTTACTGTGTGTGATGCACTGCTGTCCCAGCCCAACAGGGGCACAGGAAGCATATGGCCTCTACGGACAGGACTACGCTACAATCAGGAGGTGTGACTGCAGCAAGTATAGACCTACCTGAGCTAGCTTTAAAATCAAAGCTAGCGTGAGTACCACAGCAGTGACAGCACAGCAGCATGGGTGGCGGGTGGGCTTGCTCCGCATGCCCAGAACCCTGGGTTCGTACTCGAGTAGCCTCCACCCCTGCTGCTCAGCTTCAGTGCTATTGTTACTTGAGCTAACTTTGACGTACCTAGATCAAAGCTAGCTGGGGTATGTCAACACGGGCTGCAATTACACCTCTCGACTGCAGTGTAGACGTACCCGAAGAGAATGAGCTTCCTGTTGCACAAGGGAACCACAAACTGCCACACCTCTTTAAGGGGTGCAGCATACTCCTCTCCCTCCCTCTGTGCAGCTGGCCAGCTCCACTGGCTGGTAGAGAATGGGAACATAGGCTTGGTTCCATCTATGGCCCCATCCTATTCTGCTTCCTTTAGATACTAGTTTTCCACAGGGGAATAATTAGAGAGTAGTCCTAAATGCAAGGACTACAGTTCTTCCTGGCTCGTATATGGGGCATACAACGGTGAAGGGATGGAGGGAGGCTATTTAGAGCTGTGTAAAAACCAGGCAGAATGTAGTACTGAGTTGGGAGACAAGGTTAACATATCCTTGCAAAATTCTACTTGCCCACTTCCCTGGAGTGAGTTATTTATTTTGATGGGCACATAAAAAAATGCATTTGTTTTTCATTACAATGTTGGTAAGGCCCAGTAAGTAGATTTTTGCCTGGCCTGGCCAATTTTCATGACAATTTTGTGAGGCCGAGATAGTAAATGTGAGTGAAAATAAATCAATGAGAAGCAACTCCTTCCCCTTTATCTCTGGGACACTTTTGTCTTTTCTGGTTTGTCTTTTCTAAAGAGGAGACTCTCCAGATTTCTATAGGTTAAATTGTTTTCTATTTCCTCTGTGACTTGCTTTAAAAATCTGTTTAAGCTGCACTGCAGTATATAGGGCCCAATTCTGCTCCCACTGAAGTCAATGGGAACAGGATTGGACTCAGATTCTTACTTCAGCATCATACTCCAATAAGCTATACCGTGTTAACAGGAAACTCATTGTAGGCCAAGTCTCCAAGACTTGTAACAGTCCATGCATGTGGCATCAAATTACAAAGATCACCTGGAACATGAGCACAAGCAGAATCCAGCCACTCAGTCAACTTTGGGCTCGTTTTATTTGACCTTGGTTTTATTTTACTTTATTTATACAAACCTTTTTTTAAGGGAGAGAGGGTTGTAAAATTCTTACCTTTTAAAGGAGCCCATTGTTAGCAATTTGTTCATCACAGCCCCCTCGATCTCACCAAAAAAGTTGCCAGTCTGAGGGGGAAGAACAAAAATGACCAGAAGTGGGATAAATGCAAAAAAAGAGTGGATACAATTTAAACTGGCATATCCCAGAATCTGACAAGAGTGGCTTTGACAGTTACATAGATAGATTTTCAGGGCTACTTCTACATAAAAATTGAAAAGGACTTAACAGTCATGACAAGTTATGGGGATTACAGGGTAAACCCTTGAGCAGATGAGAGAGTTTATACAATAGATTGTGGTACATTATATAACATCTAATGTCAGAAATAAAAACCACCTAAATCTCAAGCTTGTAAAGAAAATGCAACTAATCTGATCACAAACCCTTGTGATTAAAATGCTACTCCATAAAGATATAAACTGGTTTTGAAAGGATTTCCTAAATGGTCATAAAAAAGCATTGTTTATAATTCCTGCATGACCTGTTTATGGAGCTGGAACATTACATTTCACCAATCCTATAAATTTTCACCCCATTCAGAGTCATTTCCTGCTTAAAACCACTCATCCCGATGAATGATCCATGTTGCCTTTGTTCAGTAAATGAAAAGATGTGGAATAACGAAGACAAATCTCTGATGAGAAAACAAACATTCCTGTTATGAATTTGATATACAATCTGGAAGAGACTCCATTATCCATTAGACCTGGTCCTGACAGCTATGCAAATGGAGCTGTAAAGAATCATGCATGTGCAGGCCAGTGTCTTTTTCCAGTGTGGGGATGGCATTTTTATTTCAGGACCTCAGTTCACAGAAGAATTGGACATGGTCTTTGCACTGTTAAAGGGGAAAATATCAGAATTTAGGGGAGGGGGAGGAAAGGGCATGAATAACTAGATCCTAGTTTTCATTACAAGTAACTTACTTGACCTCAACTATACACCTGGGAGTTTGCAGACAGAAAAGTTACAGACCTAGCCAAGAGGCATTCCTCTGTCTAAAGAGCAAGTATTGCCTTTTTCACTGAGGGGAAACCTGGGACATTTTTCAAAACACATGAGTATGTAAAGCCTGCTAGGGGCAAGGAGAACATTTTTATTTTATGTGATTAAATGCACCAGTTTCAATAGCACTAGTTGATTGATGATGATGAAGAATTATCCTAATTGCGAGACAGGAAATCAGACAGCGTCAAACAAGCCCAGACCAGGAAAGTCTGGTATAACATTAGATAGCAGCAAATCTGATTTGCCAAGTCATGAGTCAGTTGCATTCAGGCATTTAAAGGACAGCTCTCACTCAGAATACGCTTTTTACATTTTTAAAGATTAGCTTCTCCTCAGAAATCAGTAACTTTTACACAGTTTGTGGTTTTTTAAAAACATTTGAACTGCTTAGTTTTGATCAAGTATAGAAACGTATTGCCCAGGTGTGAGGCATGGGTCTTAGAGCCAAGGCCGACACCAGCTTGTTGGCGCCCGCAGCCGGCAAAGAAAAAAAAAAAAAAAAGCCGCGATCGGCGGCACTTCGGCGGCAGCTCTACCGTGCCGCTTGATTCTTCAGCGCCGAATTGCCACCGAAGACCCGGACGTGCCACCCCGTCCATTGGCCGCCCCAAGCACCTGCTTCCTGCGCTGGTGCCTGGAGGCGGTCCTGCTTAGAGCTGCTCTAGTTACTTCTGAAGCAGGAGTCCTCCAAATATCAGCAGAGATGGAGAATCCCAGATATTAGGGTAACTGACAGTGCCCCTCCTCCTCACGCACAAAGGAGACTGCTTTGTGTGGTGCGCAGCAAAGGATTATGGGAAGACAGAGTCTTATTGCTAGGGCCCTACCATATCCACGGTCCATTTTGGTCAATTTCACGGTTATAGGATTTTAAAAATCGTAAATTTTGTGATTTCAGCTATTTAAATCTGAAATTTCACAGTGTTGTAATTGTAGGGGTCCTGACCAAAAAGGAGTTTGGGGTGGGGGTTTGCAAGGTTATTGTAGGGGGTTTGCGGTACTGCTACCCTTACCTCTGCACTGCTGCTGGTGGCGGTGTTGCCTTCAGAGCTGGGCAGCTGGAGATTGTCGGCTGCTGGCTGGGAGCCCAGCTCTGAAGGCAGAGCAGCCACCAGCAGCAGCGCAGAAGTAAGGATGGCATGGTATGGTATTGCCATCCCTACCTCTGCACTGGTGCCTGCAGAGCTGGGCCCTCAGTCAGCAGCCACCACTCTCCAACAGCCCAGCTCTGACGGTATCAGTGCAGAAGTAAGGGTGGCATGGTATGGTATTGCCACCCTTACTTCTGCGCTGCTGCTGGCGGGACGCTGCCTTCAGAACTGGGCACCCAGCCAACAGCCACCACTCTCTGGCTGCCCAGCTCTGAAGGAAGTGCAGGAGTAAGGGTGGCAATCCCATGAGACCCCTAAAATAACCTTGTGGCGCCCCTGCAACTCCCTTTTGAGTCAGGACCCCCAATTTGAGAAACGCTGGTCTCTCCTGTGAAATCTGTATATTATAGGGTAAAGGCAAACAAAAGACCAGATTTCATGGGTGGAGACCAGATTTCACAGTCCGTGACGCATTGTTCATGGCCATGAATTTGGTAGGGCCCTACTTATTGCCAGTGCTGGGCATGATAGAAACAGGGGCCAGCAAATCTCTCATCCCATCAACTGCTGGGGAGGGGGTAACAACACAGGTGTGGGAAGTGGCAGCTGAGGGCTGGGGGTCCATGGCTCTTGCCAATGGTGCAGTCTTTGCTTTTTTTTTTTTTTTTTTTTTTTACTGGCTTCGCTTACCTGTGGTGCTGCTGTAACAGACTTCCTACCCATTCACCTGCTCCATGTCCTTGCAGCAGCACCATGTTGTTCTCACCCACTGTTCTCCTTTCCTCTACAAGAGACACGATTTTTTTTTTGGTGGTAACAGTGGTGATAGCTCCTCTTAGCCCTAGGTAGGACATGAGCTCCATTTGCTGGCTGCTGTACAAACACATGGGCAGACATGGACCCCACCCTGAAGAGCGTAATATTTAAATAAACAAGACATACCAGGTTTGGGAGGAAGGATTATGACACACATGCAAAGGACCAGGCGGGCAAATGTCAGGTTACTGGTAGGATCTTTGTTTTGTGTTTCTATTTGTGTTTATTGTGGGGGCCAGGATGGGATTAGGGAAGAGAGGAGAGGATGTGTTAATAGGAGCAAGTGGGTAAGGATAGGCTGGACAGGGGAAGGTCTGCTGGTAGCAGGAGGACTGTGAGGGAGAGGGGCTGGGAGAGGTCAGAGTAATCAGCCCATCTGTAGAGGAAAGAAAGTCCAGGAAGCTGAATGTCTATGACGTTACTTGTGTGTAGAGGTTGTGAAGGGGTGTGTGTGTGTGTGCGTACACCAGAAGGAGAGTCCTCTACTCACTTCTGAGTTTGGAGGCCTAGTTGGCCCCCTCAATTGCTGTCAATCCCAGCTCCTGTGCAGCACGAGTCTGTTCTTGTGGGTTGAGTCCACCCCATGGCATCATTCTCTTACTCTTTCAGTTCATGTGCAGGAACTTCTAGCTCAGGATCTGCTGGGTCTTCTTCCTGCCCTGCCAGTATTTTACTGCCCCTAGATCCTGCTGTGGATGAATCTCTTTGCTGCCAGGTAGGAGAGGATTTCTACGGTGCCACTGCCCTGAGAATGAGCAGCTGAGCAGTGCCACTCAATCCGCCACAGCAGAAATACCTCTCCTTGCTCCCCTAAAGCAGTTCTTCTGAGGACACTGCAAATCTGCCAGCTGCCCTGGACCCCACGCACTGGCTGCCTCTATTCAATCCCATTCCAACCCTTCCAGCATCTGGTAGAGTGACAGAACTGTGGACCCTAATTCTCGTGTCCATTACACCCATTCCCAGCACTGAACATCTGCCTTGCCTCCTTTGTGGGGGAGGGTCAAAGTCAATTTCTGCCTCTGTGCCCTTGATACTGCTATGAGAGTGCCTGCTTGTGATGCAGTCAGAATAGGCTTTGAAATAGAGCTAGTTGGAAGGTTTTCAACCAAACATTTTTCCACCGGAAAACACTGATCCGTCACAAGTGAAAAATTTCACAGAAACTTGTTGATTTTGATGAATCTAATATAACACAGGCAGGTTTCAAAATTTGCCTGTCAGGCAGGTTTCGCAAGGAAACCTCGCTAATTTCCTGCCATCTCACCTGCCTGACTCCTTGGCAGCCCTCCTGAATGATTGCCTCGGAGTTGGGACCCCAGGGCTTCCAGGGTCCCAGCTCTTTGGCAGCCCCACCATGTGGAGTGCTTCAGAGCTGGGTGCTCCAGGGCTTCCAGACTGCTAGGCCAGCTGGCTTCGCACAGCTTGGAGAGCCTGCTGGCACAGGAGTGTGGAAGCCCTCGGGTCTCCGACTCTGAGGCAGTCAGCATAAAAAAGTTGCTATGGGTACTGGAAGGGTACTGGAAGCTGCTGACTGAATTAACATGATTCTTGTCAGTTTCACTGCTGCCCACTATTGAATTGCAGTGGTGAAAGTGACCAGTCTGGTCAGCCCAAATATGATTCTTTTTTGTGGGAGGAAGGGTCAGGGTGAGGGAAGATGTCTCTGAAAGAATTTAAGGTTTTACATCCCAGTAAACCTACTTAACCAAACTTAATTCAGCTGAGATCTAGCCAGAAATATGGGAATTTCAGATCACAACTCCACAGGGTTCAACCCAAAAGAGAGCCTGTATTGGACATTCCTGTTCCATGTGGGGCCTGATGCTGCTGCTGCTCATGCAAAATTCCTGCAAAAGTTGATTGGAAGTGTTTCCTAAGTAAGGGCTACAGAGTTAGGCCATTAGTCTTCCATTTTCCAATTAGCTGTCCATGGTCACAACAATCTAATGTTTTGAATAATCTCTGGAGTAATCATGATTTTACCCCAGTCCTCTTTATTGTGGTGCTGAATGCCAAATTTAAATCTTGTACCTTAAATGACAGTAATCTGGTTCAGAACACAGAAACACAGGAACAAACAGATTTACAGTGTAGGATTTCACTAGTACAAGTTCGAGAGTAAGACCCTCCTAAATGAGGTAAAAACTCATGTGGAACTATCTTCCTCAAGATAAAAATTCCTCAAGGGGAACAGACACCTCTGCAGCAAAGAGTTATATAATTTGAACTTTATGAGTTTAGAGCAGACCCACCCCACTGTGAGCTAGAAATTCTTTGAGGCCCTCTGAGAGGCAAGTTACATTCTTTGAGGGAGGGATCTTTTTAATCTCATGCTACTTATTCCTTAAATGTGGATCATTATCTTAATGCTTCAACACTGAAGACCATGTTTAATAAACAAAATCAAACAAACTAAACCTTTTCTAACATGTGATATGGGACTGGTTAAGAAAATCCTGCCACTTACCTGTCTGTAATCTTCAGATACTAAAATAAATCCATTGTTATCTATGAGGTAGCAGTTAATTGCCTACAAAATAATAAAGGCACAATTTCAAGTCTTGTTTTTAAAGCATTTCACTGATTTCATTAAGTAATGTATTTCAATCCCACATGTCCTCTAAACGGATAAACATTTGGCCCTTATGTAATTGTAAATGCTCAAATAAATTATAAGTGAACCAACTTTGTAGTTGAGAGCAATGATTAAGGTATCTTAAGTGATTACTTAATGCATAAATGCCCAAAACCAAGAGCTTATCGAACAGAACTGAACATATTTAAAAAAAAATCAACATTTTAATAATGCATTTTTAAAAATATTTCCCTGTAACAAAGAATGCAAAGGCATACAGCCCTGGTGCTCCTCATGGCTTATGCTCTATTTAGAGAACAACATCAGCACAATGTCATTACCCTAATGATGTATTAATGAAAACATAGTGTCAGCTTGGAGGACCAACAGGGGACCAGGTAATATTTTTTAATTTGTTCATAGAATGAGAGGGGGTAAAGGCTTCTGTAAAAGAGGCCCCATAGGTCTCCTAAAGGTTTTCAAACTGTGTTTTTAATTGGGACCTGGAATCGGGGGTAGGAATGTTAGCTTTAGGTAGGTCATACTTATAAATTGCATAAAGCAAGGTAAACTCAAATCAGTGCTTCCCCCACACTATTTTAACCTCAAGAGAATGATCTGCTACAGGCTAAATTTTAATTACTGCTCTGCAGAATTTAAATTCAAGGTTTAGTTCAAACCTTGGTATAACTCAGTTTCTCTTTATTATTACTTCAGATACCCACCTCAACACTATATTTGTAACATATCTTTACTCTAGGCCTAACTCAGCAAAATATTATTGTTCCTTACACTTTGTGAAATTTACATTAAAAAGTTCACGATCGCTCCCAACATAGTAAATTTCATGGATTAGCTCTGAATCCAAGATCTTCTTTTCTTACCACAAATAGGCCAAATGCAGCCAAGAACAAAAGGTATCCTGTGCTGCACAACAGCAACCCAAGAAAATGGTCCTACAATTTGGTAATTGAAAGCAGCTCAATACAGAGCCTGATCCTGCAGTCCTATCTTCAGTAGGAGTTTTGCCTGGGTAAGAACTACATGATCAGGCCCACAGCCTTCTTCACAACATGTATGCTGTGACCATTGATTCATATCTTGGCTCTTGGTTGAGAGTTGTTAAATTACTACAGAAGAAGCAGCCCTTGCCCTTGACAACTAGGAAGATAAAGTTCACTGAGTAATAATACATGCTCACTCACTACGTTTGGAGGTCCAGTTCAGATAAGCAAATGCTTAGACACATATTTAAAGGTTATCTAAATCCCTTTAGTCTTCTGGATTGGACTAGGAATATGAAAAGATTTCTAGTATTTACTCTTCTGGTCCAGGCTGGAAATATTGTGACAATATTATGCAGACTTTCAGGTTGAATGTTGATACTTGGGACTCTGGTCAAATACTGGCAGTGAACCCCTATCCCCAAAACTCAACTTTGCAGAAATGTCTGTTTCCAGTTTGTTTCTAACAAATGGGCAAAAGTTTGGTGAGCTTTTTACTCTAACCAGTTTTGCTCATCCACAACACAGATACAGGGTGTTTGCTTTGATGCTGGAACTGGAGGTCATGTGGAGCCTTTTGCAGCTCTGTTTCAGAAGCCCCACCCTACTCACCCACAACTAAGATGGGAATCCAGCCTGGCAGATGCTGCGGGTCTAGCTGATGGCCTGTTTGGGAGGTCGGGAGTTGTTAAGTTGCTGCAACTCGTGGATGGTTGCAAGTGCGAGTAAAAGGATGAGACTCCTATTAGCTTTACTGGAAGCTAAGTTAGGCCAACATGGAACACTTTCAAAAATTCCACCCTAAAGCTACTCTCTGCTAGTGCAACCATCAAGGGAGGGTAGCAGCACAGAGAATGCACATTCAGCCCTGATGCATACAGGGGTGAATCAACATGCCACCCACGCACCTCAAGGGGTGGGGGAAGTTGATTAGGCTGGTGGTGAAGAGGGACAGCCCCAACAGCAAGAGAAGGACACACTTGATGAAGGACATTGGGTAGCTCCTCCCCTGCTTAAAAACTTTGCCATCCATTGGCCAGTTAGGATGCAGAGCTGCTGATTGGCCTACATCTCCCAGCTCCAGGGATTTAACCTGGAACACAAGCCATGTTGAGTCTCTTGTGGCTCCACTGCAGCAGCGTTACTCACTGATGCAGCAGTAGAAGCAGTCAGAATGCAGAGGAAGATAGTGGGTAACCAAAACATACCCAATATTTGAACTAGTAGACAATCTACAAAGCATTGGACCCACACAAAAGCAGCCAGGACAGCAGATAGATCCCAGCTGGGTTTCAGGGCTGACGTTTGCATCCACTGTTTCAGCAAAAGAGGCCTTCAGAGGCATCAGATCATTGACAAACAGCATGGTCCTGCCTCATGTTCTGGTTATTCTCCTTGAGGAGAATGATCTCAGGGGCTGCACTGGAGTTGATTTAAGGGATAGAATGCAGAGGGTTGTTGGTTTGATTAGGAAATCATAGCCTGAGGTTAATATGATCACTAGTGCTTGCGAGGCAGGTTGGTGAGGTGCTCCAAACCCACCCAAAGTGGACAAGGCTAGGAAGAAAGTGAATTGGGAGGTCACCAGGATACCTGTGGAGACAAGGGGGTTTGTGGTACAGCATAGGGTCATCTGTTACAATGGGCCTTAATTTTTCAGGGATGATGATGTACCTTTGTCACATGGAGGCACTGACCTATGGCTATGGAATGTGAGGGAATGGAATGGGGCAGGAGCTATGATACCAGGCACTGTCACTGGGGAGAGGTGTGACCAAGCTAGTCACTAATGTCCCCTGCGGCTGGTTTCCAATGTGGTTAAAAGGATAAAATGAACAGTTCTCAGAGGTAAAAGACCTGGGATTTTGCTGATGGGCCCTGGGCTCATAGGATAGGGTGAGACCTTGTGGCCTGAATCCCCACCCTTCTGCAGCCTCTTCCTCCTCACAGGAGGTGGAGCTGGTAGGTCTCACAGTGAGCTGATTCTTGGGGTAGGTTGAGGAGAGTCTACCCTGAGTTATGGGTTATATGATAGGAGCCCTGTAATCCCCTACACTGGAACCACTTAAATGCCTGGTATAGGGGAGTATTGGTGAGGGTAGGTAGCTCCCCTCCCTTGTGTTTGACTTAATAAAAGTTGTGGCCTTCTGCTTAAAATCCATCCACATGTTCCTCATTTTGCTGCTATATCCAGCTCAAATACCATCCACCCATTTCAATGGAGTGGCTGGATCAACTGTAGTTTTTAGCAGCCACCCAAACAGTTGCATAGAGAGTGGTTGTCCAAAGCGCAGAAATAAATAAAAACAGTCACACTGAACAAGACAAAGTTTGGGTTCATTCGCTGTTCTTTCTCAATCAAGCAACCTGCAGATGGGAACAAAATGCCTGGTTTCCAGAATGAGAAGCCATATTGTGTTTCTCATAGCCATAGCCACTTGTTAGCGTTGTTCAGGTTTTAGAAGGTGATGAGTGGCCTAATTCATAGATTCCGAGGCAAGAAGGGACCACTGTGATCTAGTCTGACCTCCTGTATAACACAGGCCATAGCGCTTCCCTGAAATAATTCCTAGAACAAATCTATTAGAAAAATATCCAATCTTGATTTAAAAATTGTCAGTGATGGAGAATCCACTTGGTAAATTTTTCCAAAGATTAATTACTCTCACCATTAAAAATTTACATCTTATTTCCAGTCTGAATTTGTCTAGCTTCAATTTCCAGCTATTGGATTGTGTTATACCTTTCTCTGCTAGACTGAAGAGCCTATTATTAAATATTTGTTCTTCATGTAGATACTTATAGACTCTAAGAAAATCATCCTTAATCTTCCCTTTGTTAAATAGATTGAGCTCCCTGAGTCTATCATTGTAAGAAATGTTCTCTAATCCTCTAATCATTCTCATGGCTCTTCTATGAACCCTCGCTGACTTATCAGCATCCTTCTTGTATTGTGGGCATCAGGACTGGGCAACAGATTCCAGCCCGGGTTGCACCAGTGCCCACAATATAGAGGTAAAATAACCTCTCTGCTAATACTCAAGGTTTTCTTGTATATGCATCCCAGGATTGCTTTAGTGGAGTACTCACTAGGATTAGGTGTTCAGCTGCTTATCCACCAAGACCCCCACATCTTTTCAGTGTCTTTGGTTCCCAGGATAGAGTCCCCCATCCGGTAAATAGGGCCTACATTCTTTGTTCCTAGATGTATGCATTTACATTTAGTTGTATTAAAACGCATATTGTTTGCTTGCACTCAGCTTCTCAAGAGATCCAAATCACTCTGTAGCAGTGACCCATCCTCTTCATTATTTACCAATCCCCCAAATGTGTATGTCAAGTGGGATTTATGTGCCTAAGCACCTTTGTGTGTCTGGACCTAAGTGACTTGTGCAAGGTCACACAAAGTCTGTGGAGGAACAGGAAATTAGACCCAGGTCTCCTGAGGTGCAGGCTAATGTTCTAACTACTAGCCCATTCTTCCTGTGTGCTAATAACACTACTGGAGAGAGGCACAAGCCACAAATTGGGAAATGGATCTGTGTGGTGAGAGGGTTTATATCTGGGATTTTGTTCATTTCTTGGGCTCATCTAAATATTCCATGGGGGATAATGCAGCACATGCAGGAGTGCATTCACTCGTCTTTTACTTGCCATAAATAAAAATAGCCTTCTCCATATAGCAAGAAATCCAGGAAAGATTATGTAAATTTAAAAAAGCATTGGCAAAGGATAGTTGGAGACATTTACTTGTCCAGCGCATAAGCATGAAATTCTTAAGCATGAGATTAGTTCAGGAGATAATATTATTCGGACACAGTAGGCTCATGTGAACCCTGTAGGGTTTGATTCACAATAATAACCAGGTGTGAACCATATACTTCAGGTTTGCTTGAAGGCTCAAGTTCAATGAACTTCAGACTTCAAGGATAAAATCCCATATGCAGACAGTTCTTGGGCTTGTAAATGGGAGTAGGCGTGACGTCCAGAATAAACTTGGCAAGAATGCGGGCTGAAGTCTGAGAATGCATCTGACCTTGCTCCTAAAACTAGATTACTCTGGAGTGGGTTCAAGGTCTGAGTATTTTGCACAGCTCCAGTGTACAATTATATTAACAATCATGGAACGTAATATGAATTAAAACACACCCCACGCCAACACACTCATGAAAATAACAGAGTAACAAATTCATAGTCCCCCCCCCCCCCAAAGAAATTGACAGTTCTGTTTAATTGCATGAGTGGCATGTCATCACTATTCAGTGCCACTAAAAGCAAGGTTCAAAACTCACCAATTTGTGCAGCTTATGCCCACTGTGCAACTGGTTGACAAACAAGGTTTGCCATAAAACGTCTCCCCTATTAGCTGGGTTTTAGCTGCTGCTCACCAATAAGTAAAAACTGTTTACCAGATGTCTGCCTGCCATTGAGAGCAGCACTGTAAGGGGCATTGATACAGTTTGTGACTTTTGACATGTGACAGGATGTAAGAAGGGAAATGTTTGTTTGGTTTTTTTACAAATCTGCTTCCTTTATCCAGTATAGCAACTGATGGCATATTTTGTGATACAGTAAAAGACTTGATTTGACAAAAAAAGTTACGTGTCATCACAGCTGCTTTATATAAGAAAATATGTACCATTACTATTCAGTCACTAGGACAGCCACAAGGAAGGGAATCACCTCCACCCAGTCTGGATTTTCCACTGGCCAACGGCTTGAGCTAAATGGTAAGGAGATTCCACATAGCACTCTAACCCTACCCAGATTGCCTGAGGTTATACTCAGCTCAGCAAGCTGGTTGGATATAACTGGGAACCCATTGATACGAGTATTTAAAGGCTGTTGGAGGGGATCCAAGGTAAAGCTTGTCCATTAAGTCCACAGCAGGCAGGCACAAAACTAACTTTAGTGGAGCAAGACTGGGAAACGTGAAATTAACAATTCTACAGAGTTTGTTTTGTATTGGGAGCCTGATCACATTTTAGGGGAAGAGGCTGTGAGCTCACCGAGCCCTAATTAAAATGGACTGAAATGCAAATGACAGCATGGAAATGGAGGTACAAAAGAGGATGGAAAAGGCTGGATGGAAATCAAGGATTCTGGGGAGAGGGGGTATTTTTAAATTGGTAGTTGAAAAGAAGAAATGTTAAAAAATAAAAACAGAGGATGCAAGCTTCAAAGGAAGGAGACGTAGGTCTCTAAAGAGAGGGACAGAAAAGGCACATTAAAGGGCATCCACATTGCCAGGGCACAGGATAATCACTGGCCTTTCCACAGTTGACTGCCAGAGTAATAGTAGAGACTGCTTGTATTAGCAGCTATTTAATGGGAGGGGAACACAGATTAACTTCAGAGATTTGGCTGACTGCTAATACTTATTTTTCTTTAGTGCTGTCTCTTAAGCCTCTCTCATCTAGTGAATTCGCTATTTAATGGAGCTAGTTGGAACATTTTCAATAAAATGAAATTTCATCAAAATCTGTTGTCTAGTCAACGTTAAAATGTTTTGCAGAGACGTATTGGCTCCAACGAAGTTGTCAGGTGTAAAGGTGGAGGATGGGAGAGACTCTCTCTTACACTCTACAGCCTGGTGGTTAGGGCATTGCCCTGGAAAGTGGGAGACCCAGGTTCATTCCCTACTCTGCCTGCTTCAGAGTGGGATAAAAAACCTATATTCTGAATCAGACACTTGATGCTGGGACTCCCACATCCCAAGTCAGTGCCCTACCCACCAAGACACACACCCTCCTGCATTGAAAAGCTCAGGTTTTGATCTGAAAATGGACTTTTCAACACAATTCCATTTTTTTTCAAAAACATTCCAATGGTTTTGGTTTCAATCCAATGCAGAACAAAACTAAATGCAGAAACAATGACAGCTGCCATGAAATTGAATTGTCGTTTTCCCGTCAGCTCTATTATTTAGTCCTTGGAAATGCATTGTAGTTTGATGTAATGAGTTACTAATTTGATATGTTGAAGAAGTTGCCATGCTCCATTCTTACAATGTTGGAATTTTTAATTCTGTTTCCAGAATGCTTTCGATCCCCTGTGGAACCGCCACACATTTTAAAAAGTGGTATCACTATACCTGGGTCTTGGCTGTGTTTTCTCAGTAAAACATCTGTTCAAAATGTTCTGAATGTCAAACTATGTTGGGAATGCTGGGTAGAATCCCAGAAATGGGCTTGCCAGAATTATTGTCAGACATCGTAAACTGTTTGCAAGTTAATTTAAAGAAAAGTCTAGTACAAAATGAAAATATTTTTTTTCACAAGCCTGAATTGAATGTCCATCTTAATACTTGCATATGTTTCAAAACACTGTTCAAACACACCTGATGGCCCTTTTTGGATAACTTACACTATTCTTGGAGCGGGGGAGGGAGAAAGATTTGAATTGACAGTTCCTGGTGAAGCACCAACTTAATTTTATACCACAGGAAATATTGTGGAATACTTACTTTAACTATTATTGTTGTTTATTTATACAGTCCTGTAGTAAACTGACCTTCTCCCCAGCTCACAAATGACCCACTGCCACATGCAGAGTCTCTTTCCAGAAGTTTTGTTTTTCAAACTTAGGCAAAAGGTAACAAAAACTCAGCCCACCCTGAGCTACAGCTCCCAAGGATTTCCCCCCCTCCCCCCGCCCATTTCCTGCAGGAAGGACGGAGAGGTATCTTCTATGTTCTGTTCACTGAGCACCGCCACTCAAGGGCTTCTCTTTGGATGCCCTCTTTCCCTAGCAGGTTCCCACTGCCTCCCCTTCCAGGGAACTTCCTGTTGCTTTTTCCCCACACTTTAGCACTCCCCCTCCCCAGTTTTCTCTCTCTAGTCCCAGGTGTCCAATTTTAAACCTAATTGGGGTCAGCAGACCCGTCACAGGTTCATTTGCCCTGCTCCCCCTTAAAGGGGCCAGCCACCCTGTGACAAGCACTATGACTGAGATTGGTGATATACAAAACATAGACAAAGTTTCTTGGATTATGCTAACAGACAAACAGTTCTAACAGGGCAACAGGTCCAATGTAGCTTTGTGCTTAATGAATCTTTCCAATGATAATTTCCAGTTTTAATATGTAAAAATATTATCAAGTTGTTAATCTTCAGATAACAAGGAATAGTTATTTATTATGTAAAAATGTTCCTTTAATGAAAGCCACATTAACTTCTTATTTTATGGTATGTATCAGGGACACGTCTGTGTTTAAGATGAACAGTACACGGATATAGAATCCCTGAACATTTCCAGACTGACTTCAGAAAGTGCACTGCCTTACCTCAGATAAAGTTGCCATACTAAAAACTAAATGGAGATATAAAATGAGAAAAAGTCTATAAAATACTTACTTCATCATCACAGCTTATAGAACATCTTCCATCAAGAGATGGACACTGCAGGGGACACCAATAGGATATATATTTTACATCATTTTATTTTTTATTCTGGTGGTTGTCTGAACTGATATTTTAAAAACGATAAGTACAAATTTAATCAAGAACAGTAGATAATCTAAAAAAGACCACAAAAGTAGGACTATATTACATTAATTCCCCATTCCTGTTGTGACGGCATCTGCATCAAGGGGGTTAATTCATGCTGTGCCAATTTCATTTGCTTATTCCAGTCTTTGCTGCCTACTCTATAATGATACAGGGCCTTAAATAGGCAAGACTCCATTGGGACTTCAGTAGGGGTATTGTGTGAGTCAGGATTGTAAGACTGAGCCAATATTTCACAGAATACTTTAGAGATGATTATTCTCAGAAATAGTATAATCTCAATGTATTCTCAAATTGGTCATGTAATCTCTTGATCCTTTTAAAGCTGGAAAAGATTATTTTCTTAAATAAATACACATTTTATACACAGTTTATTATTTATTAAAAACAAACTAGACAAATATGTTTCACTGAATACAGTTAGTCGCTAGATTACTTCAGGTCACTTAAAGCTAGAGAGCAGATATACCATAAGCCCTGAAAAAGGGACATAACTGTGCCACCCAAGAGAGACTAGGAACCAAATTGTGACTCAGTCACAATATCTGGTCCTTGGTTTCCCCTTTCCTCCAGGAGGGACTTAATCTGTGCCAGCCCTTTATCTGACAGAGCTTACTTCTCCCCCTGCACCAACTGTGCTAGCTGATACGTTTTAGGGACAGTGGACTCAAAGCTCCATCCATTCCTAGCCCACCTGCAGTGGAATGGGAGTAGCAGTCCCACTGAAGCTGCTCCCCACATTGAACTGTAACCCATGGTTACGTGCCCTATCCCTGCCTTAATTCCCTGAATGGGCATGATGGGACAGCACAGTAATAGCAATGCACTGGAAGAAACTGGGGGGTGGGGGGGAAGTCATTTAAACCATATACAAAAATTTTGAGTGAAATCAGGGTTGTATTAAGTATATTTATTCTTACTGTTATCAAAATGCACTGATCACCCCAAAAGATACTTGAACACTGACAAGGTCATTCCTATTTTTCATGTCATTGTTGTTGTATTTTTTAATTGTATGTACCCTTAGGATAATTGTTCATGGATCTGTAGGTTATACTTGGGAGGCTGGATTTGGGGAGCCTCTCCATTCATGACAATGAGTGTTGAATCAGTCCCATGTGTTTAGCCTCATGATCACCCTTGTGTTACAATGAATGGAAAAGTAAATTAGAATAGCTTACAAACATTCATAGGAAATCTAGAACTGCCTTGGCTAAATATATCTAGAACATCACCACCTGTACAGTAAGGGAGTTGCTATGGTCTCATCTGCATAAGTAGTATCTAATTGGAACATACCTGTCTACTGGCAGTCCAAAACTTCCGCTGGAAAAATTCAAGTTTCATCTGGATACCTACAGCTGGTACAAATTATAAATAAAACCAAGGTATTAAAATATTTTACATGGTTATTTCAAATGATTCATAGGGGAAAATGCTGGTTAAACCTACTTGGGAAAAAAATACCCCAGTGGTTAAATTTAAGAGATCCACATGGTCACATATTAAACCAGATTTATCTTTTGCTTAAGAAATCAAGATACTGAAGACACAACATAGTAGGAACTCAAATCAGGAGTTATTAAAATTGCATGCCCTTTACAGTTAAAATAAAGAAACTGAAAAGCGAGCACCAAAGCTATGGCAATTCTTTTTTTCTAGATTGGTCCCATATCTCAATAATCCAATTGTGTTGTATGCTGGAAAAAAACATACCTATTCACTACTGACAGGCCAGGAGGATAAGTAAAATTTAACTGCTGTGGAATTCTACACTACAGCGGAACCCTGCTGTGGGCTGAAGTCTTAAGTTGTCCAAAGTGAGCGAAAGGTGGCAGAAAGGCCATCTATAGATATTTGACCTACAGATATTTGTGTCAATTTTGTGAAAGTAAGCCCAAGGTGGAGTAAAAGGAATGAGGTAAAATGAGTGTGTGTCATTTAAAATATTGTTGGTTAAAGAGTTTCAAGACTCCTGATGAGGTTACCAATGGTAACAAGTTATGAACAATTTAAAAATGGTTTACTAAAACATTATAATTCAAAGCTTATATGCTTTTGGAAAGGTATTATTAGTATCTTCATTTGTTAAAAGTTACAATTTTGAAGAAAATGGCAGAAATTACAGGACAGAAAGATTTAGGGATGCCTTATGTTGCATGCCTACTTCAATTGCTCCTGTTGGCCATTGCATAGAGGCAGATCTGCCCTGAGATCTGGCCCCTTCTGCTTCATGCTAGAGCACCCCCTTTGTACTGGTGGTGTCTGCCCTATGGCTCCTTTATGCTAGTCTGGTTGATGCACAAGGGCCAATGCAAGAATGAACTGGCACCTCACTGGGCATGCTCTAGCCTCAAATCCAATATAAAATTTCCCTGGACAGATCTTCCTACAGGTCCTCCATAGGAGCTGCAGTTCTTGGAGCCTTGGTGACCAAACAGGGATTCCAGCAACTTCACTGTCATTCATTATTGGAAAAAAAATATCTCCAAATTGTTTTGGAAACTCTAAGGAAACTTCATGCATTCATTCTTTCTCTAAGACCTATGTTATGGACTGCTTTTAATCATATTTCCATTCTTCCATAATATCTTATTCAGACTGACAATTGGTATTTGTTTTCACAAATACGCTGAAGATGAAATCATGAGCACATTTCATACTGTATTACCAAATATAAAAATGTACGATATGAAACTCAAAAGATACTGCTACAATGGGACCGTAAAATTAACAACAGAGGAACATTTTCATATTGTATTGGTGTAGAAAAAGTTTTGTCCCTGCTGTGCTTCACATACGATACTCAATGGTGCTCTCAGGGTGATCAGCACCCCTACAATGTCCCATTAGGCATAAAACTGCATCTTTAGCTGCCTAAATACCTTCAAAAATCTGGCCCTGAGTCCTTTATATTTAGTAATAAATTTAATAGCCCATTTAACAGTTATTAAAAAGCACCTTGCATCAAAGGATCTCAAAGCACTTCATAAAAGTGGTTAAGAATATTCTCATTTTACTGATGGGAAAAATGAGACAAGTAAGATGAATGAGAAAATTCACACAGTCAGTGGCAGAATTCAGAATAGAACATAGGTCTCCTGACTCTAACCATTAGATAACAATGTTGCCTTTCTTAAAAGAATGCAGATTTAATTGTAAAGTAGCTTGGGGCTCAAATATTTCATTATGACGTTCTGAAAGGTTAAAGGTCTGTGGATAGCCCAGAAAAATTTATTGGTTCTAAAATCTTTTTCAAGTATATTTGATTGTTCTTAGGGCATAAAATAATCTGACCAAAAAAAAAAAAATCCTGTGCTTGTCTCAGTGCTCTTGAAAAACACAGGGAATATATATTTCCTCATATGAAGCCTGCAAAAATGCTTTAGTATTACCTCAGGGGTTGAAAATAAAATTATTATTCCATTCACAAGTGTTGTTAATTCTTTTGAACATGAGTTCAGTCAAATAATTATAATCTGAAATGTAGGAAACATTCGTAATTGCCATTTATTATACTTTACATACAGGTGACTGTTCAAAGCACTGCATGTCAGGAAAAATGAATGCTAAGGAGTTATTCACTCAAAAAGCATATAAAACACTATGTAGACTTCCTAATGACATTGCAAAAACCAGCATATATACAATAAAAAAGGATAGGATTAAAATGTCATATTAGGATATACTCTCTTCAAAGAAAACTCCTGTTGCTGCTTTCACCATAAAGTGTTAATGGGAGCTGTGTTTTCTCTTCTTGTCTTTCACCATAGAAATATATCATGTAGCACTTTGTTATTTAAAAACAAGTATAAGAAGGATTACAAAGCTTTCCTTGGGGGAATACTTCACAAGGGAAGTATGTAATCTGTTAGGCGTGATATTTAAAACTTTGCCACTTTTGACATCCTACGACCTCAACCAGCGCAGACAAAAATATGTTACATTTCAGTTTTACTTTCTTAAATAATATTGTACCTTAGAGATGAATGTTGCAGCCCTACTAATAGCCAAATAGCTAAATGATCTGAACAGTGTTTAAAAAAGTATAGAACACCACCGGCGGAGCTGGGAAAGCCCAACCCTGCAGTCTTCACACAAGTGAAACTCCCACTGAAAATCATGGGAGTTTTACATGAGTGAGAGCAGACCCAGCATTTCTGTCTACTTCTCCCCCCGCTCCTAGTCTGTCCAAGAATACATTGAAATTCACAGAGCTGACACCAACAAAAACAAAACTGCAGCTGCCTGCCTTCTCTCATCTTCATAAAGAGAGCACGCTCTAAGTTTTGCAGAAATTAGTCCCAGGATTTCAGTTGTCTTTATACTCCAACATTACATTGTGCAGTTCATTAAAATGTGCACATGAAATGTTTTACAGATGAGCTATGTCATAATTATCTCATTACAGTTTCAAATTCTCTCTCATGTGGTAAGTAATTTATACCGGGCATTAGGATATGTTCAGTATAAATTCATCTTTGATTTAAGCAAGGATATAGGCTGTGTATTTAACACTTGTCTACAAAGGTTTATTATGGAACTTGGGTGTTTGTAAAATGTTATCACAGAGGAACACTATTATGGTATATTATGAATTGCTCTTATATGTTTATTACAATTACATTAAAATGGTCTTCCACACTCCCCCTAATGGTTGGCAGTTTCATTGTTCCAGTGGAATGTAGCATTCAAGGGAGGTCATAGTCATGGAGAGAGAAGAATCATAGAATATCAGGGCTGGAAGGGACCTCAGGAGGTTATCTAGTCCAACCCCCTGCTCAAAGCAGGACCAATCCCCAACTAAATCATCCCAGCCAGGGCTTTGTCAAGCCTGACCTTAAAAACCTCTAAGGAAGGAGATTTCACCACCTCCCTAGGTAACCCATTCCAGTGCTTCACCACCCTCCTAGTGAATATTTTTTCCCCTAACATCCATCCTAAACCTCTCCCACTTGTAACTTGAGACCATTACTACTTGTTCTGTCATCTGCTACCACTGAGAACAGTCTAGATCCATCCTCTTTGTAACCCCCTTTCAGGTAGTTGAAAGCAGCTATCAAATCCCCCCTAATTCTTCTCTTCTGCAGTCTGAACAATCCCAGTTCCCTCAACCTCTCCTCATAAGTCATGTGCTCCAGCCCCCTAATCATTTTTGTTGCTCTCCACTGGATTCTTTCCAATTTTTCCACATTCTTCTTGTACTGTGGGGCCCAAAACTGGACACAGTACTCCAGATGAGGCCTCACCAATGTCGAATAGAGGGGAATGATCACGTCCCTCAATCTGCTGGCAATTCCTTACTTATGCAGCCCAAAATGCTGTTAGCTTTCTTGACAACAAGGGCACACTGTTGACTCATATCCAGCTTCTCGTCCACCGTAACCCCTAGGTCCTTTTCTGCAGAACTGCTGCCTAGCCACTTGGTCCCTAGTCTGTAGAGGTGCATGGGATTCTTCCGTCCTAAGTGCAGGACTCTGCACTTGTCTTTGTTGAACCTCATCAGATTTCTTTTGGCCCAATCCTCTAATTTGTCTAGGTCCTTTTGTATCCTATCCCTACCTTCCCGCGTATCTACCACTCCTCCCAGTTTAGTGTCATCTGCAAACTTGCTGAGGGTGCAGTCCACGCCATCCTGCAAATCATTAATGAAGATATTGAACAAAACCGGCCCCAGGACCAACCCTTGGGGCACTCTGCTTGATACCGGCTGCCAACTAGATGTGGAGCCATTGATCACTACCCGTTGAGCCTGGTGATCTAGCCAGCTTTCTATCCACTTTATAGTCCATTCATCCAGCCCATACTTCTTTAACTTGCCAGTAAGAATACTGTGGGAGACCGTATCAAAAGAAATCTCTTAGGCACCCATGGCCTGTCCCATGGAGGGCTTTGAATGTCAGGGGAGAAACCTTGAACTAGTCTTTCCAGTATACAACTCTAGGGTGATATGTTCACAGTGATCTGTGTTGCTAAACAGGCTGCCCTACTTTTTAATCATTGGGAGAATTTTCAGGGCACCTGGTTTCCTCTCCAGATATAATGAATTGCAATGATCAACTCTGGAGGTCAAGAATGTATGAATCACCTTAGCTAGGTGTGTGTCCAATACGTGGAGACACAATCTTCTGGCCAGACACAGATGAAGTTGGCACTTTCTGCTATCATGACTATTTGGGCACTGAGGAGTCCAAAAGGGCTTATTGAACAATCTATGGGCAGAGGCCTTCAATAGTGGGGCATATTCTAAAGGGGCATATTAAAAAGGAAATAACCTCTTCTGCTAATATCTCTACCATCTTGCCAGGATTCAGCCTTAGCCAGCTGCTCTCCATCTAGATACTGACTGCTGGCTAGGTCT